TATATATATATATATATATATATATATATATATATATATATATATATATACTATGGTAAGCAATCTGACGTCATACTAAAATAGCCTGCTGCTGGGGGCTTCAGTACATACATCGACTGACAAATAGCCTGACTTGCAGTGGAGTGCTGCTACATCGACTGAGGGTTTGGGATGGGGAAGCAATTGTTTCATTCATTATTCTTCGTTTTTTCTTCTTCTTTTTCGAAAAAAACGTTATAGCTTAAGGTAAGCAGAAAAATATATGTATATATATATATATATAAATGTATATATATATATATATATATATATATATATATATATATATATATATATATATATATATATATATATATATATATATATATATAGTTTAAGTGACATAGTTAATAGTATATAGTTTATATTTAAATGATAAAAAGTTACATCATGTTAGTTTATATTATTTTTATTATTTAATAGTGATATTTTGGCTAATATAATATAAGCCATTATCAAACTGAAAAAAAAAAAAAATTATACAAGTTCATAAAATTATGTCATTACAATGTAACTTGTTTAGTTAAACAAAAATAATCTCTAATGGTATGTCATCACTAAATTACCATTGTTGCAAGTTAAGACTTTCTCCTGCAATCTTGAGCATTGCAAATGCTGTATCTTAATTGCTTCATGAATCTTAAGCATGTAGTTATTAATAATTAATGTTGAGTATAGATGTAGTAGATATTTTTTTATATATCTAATTTCAGAAAGAAAAAAAATTGATAAAAATACTTATGATAAAACATACTCCTCTGACACTGTTCCACCTGGATTATATGGATGCATTAAAGATCGTAAAAGTGATAAAGGTTACCCTATGCAACTATAGTTTCAACTATTGGCAAACCAGCTCATAAACTTATGCAACATCTTGTTGAAATAATACAACCTACACTTAACAAAAATGAATGCAAGGTTTAAAGTTCATCCATCGAAAGAAATGAATTTCAAGTTTCGTTTGATGTTATTAGTTTGTATCCAACTGTTCCACTAGATAAAATAACAATTACTACAATTAATATTTTAATTTTAATCACATTGATGATAGTTACAGCCAATTTTCTAACATTGATAACACAAATTCTTTTTTAGATATTTTAAATTGACAAGATACAGCCATTTAGTATACTATTAAATACCAACATTCTCAAAAACAACTTAATTTTTTAGATGTTTGTCTTTCCACCAATCAATTTCTTCATAAATACAATGTATTAATTAAACCACATTCTTCAATTTCACCAAATATAGTAATAAATATTTTTAAAGGTTTTCTTTTAAGAGCATATAAAATATGTTCAGAACCTAATATTCAATATGAAATTGAGTTTCCTTTTTTTTGTTTTCCCAAAACGGACACATATACAAACAATTTTCACATATTGCCAAAAATTATAAACTATCGCATAAAAGTATTAAAAACCTCCTATATATATATATATATATATATATATATATATATATATATATATATATATATATATATATATATATATATATATATATATATATATATATATACAGTGTTGTGAAAAAGTAAAGAACCACTAAAGAAAAAAAAATTATTTTCAAATAAAATTAATTAATTTTTCTTCTAAAGATAACAAAATAGTCTTTCTTTTTTTCACACATCAAATAGAACATGAGAAAAAAAAAGTTTTTTTTTTTCGAAAACTAATTAATAGAACCTAAAAAAATAAGGTTTAAATATTATGTATTAATTTTTTTCAATATTTTTTTTGTGAAAAAAATCAATTAAAAAAATAAAATTTTTTTTAATTGATTTTTACCTTTTTTAATTTAATATTTTATAAATGACCTGAGTCATTACCGAAAAACCAAAAGTATTAAAAAAAAGTATTTAATTTCAAACAAAAAAAAACTCTCTTCTTTTGAAAAAATGAGCAGAAAAACTATTACCTATGAAGATTGTGTAAAAGTAATGCATTATCACCAGGAAAGTAAAACCGCTTGTGAAATTGGAAGAATAATAAAACGATCACATAGTTCGGTGCTAACAATCATTAAAAGATTCAGAGAGACGAAATCTTACATTGATCGCCATTGTTCTGGAAGACCGCGTTTGACGACACCCAATGATGATCATCTTTTAATCAGGTTGGCAAAAAAAAATTGAACTATGTCGTCGCATGTATTAAGAAGGGAAAGGAGCTTTTAAATGGATGTCAAGCATCGGCATCACTTGTGCGTAGGAAACTAATAGCTAACAATATGCTATGAAAAAAAGCTGTTCTAAAACCGAGACTTAACAAACAACATATAAAAAAGCGAAAAGAATTTTGCCAAAGTGTCAAAGAATGGTCTAAAGAAAAATGGAGGACAGTAATGTTCAGTGATGAGATGAATATCGAGGTTGATAACCGAAAAAACCGAATTATGATTCGCAGGCAGCCTTCTGAAAAATATAATCTTGATTGTATCGTTCAAAGAACAAAACAAGGTAGCGGGTCGGTCGGAATATGGTGCTGCATGACATATTATGGTCTTGGTATGTTTAAATTATTTGATGGTCTACTCAACTCTATTTATTACGTCAATATTTTAAATAATTACTTGTTACCATCAATTGATGCACTTGAGCAAAGCGTTCCGTTCATTTTTCAGCAAGATAATGCACCATGCCACTGGGCTAAAATTGTCTCTGAATGGTTCGAAAACAAAAATATTGAGCGTCTAACTTGGCCACCAAATAGTCCAGATCTAAATTGTATTGAAAATCTTTGGAGTTGGCTTGATAAACAGATTGCCAAGAAAGCACCAAGGAGCCTTGAGGAGTTGCGCAATATTTTACCAACAATACTTAGAATTATTCCCAAACATATTTTAGAGAATTTAATAGGCTCAATGCCAAATCGTATAAATGAGTGCTTAAAAATTCATGGTAGAATTACGTGGTATTAGGTAAAAATTACCGTTTTTTGTTCTGTGGTTCTTAACTTTTTAACAATTTTTTTAAAATAAAAATTACCTACAAAACTTTAAATACATTTTTTTTATTTGTTTAAAAGTCTAACTGTTAATATTATTTTTTATTTTGTTTGTCTATTCCCTAAAATTTATTATTAATATTTTTTTACCAGAAAATTATATTCGACTAAATAAAAATTTAAAAATAAAAATAAATTATGATTTGTTTTTTTGGTGGTTCTTAACTTTTTCACAATACTGTATATATATATATATATATATATATATATATATATATATATATATATATATATATATATATATATATATATATATATATATTTGAATTGCTTAAGTTATTTTAATGAATTCAAAAGTTTATATCTATGTATATTGAATTTATCAATATGTTATAGATAAGTATAATATACATAGATAAAAGCTATCATTTTTGTAGCAGTAAGTAATTTGGTAACAATAAGTAAATTTGGTTTTTTACTATTGACTATAAATCTTAAAATCTACAAATCTACAAGACTAACAAATAAATTATTAAACAAATAGATATCAAAACTTTGATACCTAATTTAACTTGAAATTAAAAACTTGCTAACTTTTTAAAAACAAAATATAATTGTTTGCAAACAATTGTTTGTTTTTAAATAAGTCAGCTAGTAATTAATTAAAAACTGAAAATACTGCAAAAATAAAAACAGATTATTACCCACACCTTGATGGTGTGGGTAAACAATTAGGTAGATTTTTTTTTAAAACTGTTGGTGGAATCAATGGCCATTGCTTCCCATATCTGCTTTCAAAATGTGCATCATCTGGCCAATGCAGTTGACATACCACTGTATAGTCTGAAACAATAAAATCTGTTCTTTATTTCGTTTTTTTTAATGAATTTTTTATAATCAGCATATTAACTAGATTATATAAACCATTTATTTACAATAATTTTAGATTAATATTTTGATCTTATATTTGAATCATATTCAAATTTTATTTGAATATGATTCAAATAAAATTTGATTAAAAAGATCATTTTTGAAATATAAGATAAGAGTATAAGATATAAGAGTATTTTTTATGTATTTTTATTCTATATATTATTGAGGAAATTATTTTATAAATTAATTACCCTTAATTCAACATCCTTGGGATTATCGTAAAAATGAACCCCAAACTTACTTGATAACTGCTTTGACAAAAATTGATGATATCCACGTTAATTTATTTTTGATTGCCTTCAAAACAATACTCTTCCTCTGTGTATTGTTTTTAAGGAAATTAATTAAAAAATAAATTGTTATGGCTCTGCGTTGAGGGATTGTATAAAAAGTTCATCAAAATCAAATAAATTAGCTAGATAAAGAACAAAGAAAGTATTGCAAATAAGTAAACTTTGTCTGCTATTGCATTTTCTTTTCCTAATAATTATTGGTAAGAAAGAAATTTTATCTTTTTATGCTATGTTTTTTTTTTTTAATAATTTTTTAGTGTTGTGAATTACCACTTATTTGAATTTTCTCATTGTCAGTTTTACATACTATTCCTAATAATGTTTCCTACAAGCTTTTGTTTCCCACTGAACATGCTGGGGAGCATTTGCTTAGGTTTAACAAGCTGTTATAACTTTTTTTCAAATGAAAGATAAATTGGAAGAAAAAAAGTTTAAGAAAAATCAAAAACAGTATTATAAATATTGTTTTTGATTGACAACCAGAGAGGAATTAAAATAGCAAGTGGATGGGGTAAAAATCTAACCTTCAAAAAAATAATAATATTTACAGAAATGATTGAGATTAATACTGATGTTTTTAGTTTATTTGGTTTTTGAAAAACTTTTAGTTATTTAGGAAATAAATTATATATTTAAATTAATAATGATATTTTTTATATATTTAAATTATATTTATTTATATATTTATTTATTTATATATTTATTTATATATATATTTTTTTATATATATTTAAATTAATAATGATATTAATGAGAGTTTATTTATTATAATTTTCTATAGAGCATTAGAGAACACACTACAGTTAATAAATAACCGTAATGAGTCTTTTCGTCAATGTTTCTCAACAATAAAAGAAACAAGCATGGAGTATGAAGAAAAATTGGCTTTAGAAGAACAACACAGAGTATCTATGGATAAGTGTCAATATAAACAAAGACAAATTAAAGAGTTACAACATGATTTACACACAATGAATGATACATGTGAAAAACTTACAGCAGAACTAAATAAATTGTTTATTGATTATAGTCACACAGAAAATGAAAAAAATGGGTTAGCATTTTTTCTTTTAAATGGTAAGATAATTGTTTATCATTATTAAATTAATTATTTATCATTATTTTGTTTAAGTCTTCAAAAAGAATTAGAACTACAAGATGAAAAAAAAGATCGTGCTACAAAAATTATCAAAAAGTTCAAATCTAGCATTAATAATGCAATTTCTCATGAAGAACGTGACATAGCTGTCAGAGAATTGAGAGAAGTCAATAAGAACATCACAAAAGAAATTTTAGAAGTTGCTCATAATTACCCAGATATTCTGCCCATAGTTTATATGTACTTTCATAATGCAGGAATTATTATAAATTCTTCAAATATGGGATCTCGACCATCATCAATTAGAAGTGGAAAATCTAGCCTATCAGTAAGGTAAGATATTTGAGTGAAGTTTCTAAGTTATTTACATTTTGACTTAATTTAACTTTTGACTTTAATTTTTTTTAATTTATTATTTAGGTCAATTTCAACGATATCTTATTCTAGAAGTGAAACTAGTAATTCTCGCAAACATTCACGAGAAATTTTAAGTACGAGTTCACTGGATTTGTTTAATTCTTTTACAGGTACACTATTTCAAAAAATAATTTTGTAAAATATTTTGTAAGAATTTTAAATATTTTAAACACTATTTACCAAAATATAGAGGTTTTACAATTAAATTCTGTTAGTATGTTTGTTATATTACTATGCTTGTATTGCTTATATGCTTACTATGTTTGTTATATTACTATGTTTGTTTGTTATATTAGTATGCTTGTTATACTAGTACGTTTGTTATATTAGTATCTTTGTTTTATGTTAATATGTTTGTCATATTAGTATGTTTGTTATATAAGTATTTTTGTTATATTATTATGTTTGTTATATTTGTATTTTTGCTATAGTTGTATGTTTGTTATATTGGTATGTTTGTTATATTAATATATTTGTTATATTGATATGTTTGTTATAATAATATATTTGTTATATTATTATGTTTTTAGTATTAATATGTTTTTGTTATAATATTATATTTGTTATACTATTATGTTTTTTATATTAATATGTTTGTCATATTAGTATGTTTAATATATTATTTTGTTTCTTATATTGGTATTTTTTTTATATTAGTATGTTTCTTATATTATTATGTTTCTTATATTATTATGTTTCTTATATCAGTATTTTTTTTATATTTTATTTTTCTTATATTATGTTTTTTTATATTTTATATGTTTCTTATATTATTATGTTTCTTATATTATTATGTTTGTTATATTAATATGTTTATTATATTAGTATGTTTGTCATATCAGTATATTTGTTATATTAGTATGTTTATTTCACTTGTATGTTTGTTAAATTACCAGCGTGGAAAATAAGGAATTGAAGGCGATTGGTCAATTCGACCAGCCAACTCAAGGAATTGACAGTCAAAAACAAAGGATAGAATGAAAAAAAAAATGACAGTTGAGATTATGTTCTAATAATGAAAAAAATATCTGAAGTTAAAGAAGAAAAACTTTCGTACATTTCGTATATCTCTTGCTCATTAAAATTATTTTAAAAACCGCATTAATTGTTAATAATGTAACTAACTCTTGTTTGCAGATCTATTTAAACTAAATATTTAATACTTTAAATTGTTTTAAACATTCGTCTCCTTAGTATTTAATAATTTGTTTAATGAAAAAAATTTTGAAAATTAAATTTTAAGATATTAAACAATTTGTTTAATGAAACACTTTAAAAATCATTCAATTTGCCTTAAACCAAGATTTTTAATAAATATATATATTTTTAATAATCCTGTTATAAAAATAAAAAGCACAAGCGCTCAACTAGTAATTTTTAGTTTATATAATTAATAAAAACAGTTGGTTTAATGAAACACTATAAAAATTATAAAATTTACATAAAACGAGATTTTTAATAAATATATTTATATTTATTTTTTTAATAATCCTGTTATTAAAAAATAAGTGGCAGCGCTCAATTAGTAATTTTTAATTTATCTATAAACCATTCATTCATTTATTTGCAATTTGCGGCAAAGCTTATGAGAAAATAAATAAAAAGATTTAGAGAAAAATAAAACAAATTGACTAAGTGCAGATGAAAGAAAAACTGGTCATAGTTCAATACATAATTTATTATTATTTATTATATATTATTATTTTATTGATAAATAATATATAAAATTTTTATATTAAAATAGTAATAAAATAAATAATAAAAAGAACTTCAATCATTTAAGAAAAAAAGATTTTCACCATCGTAAACTAAAATTAATTTAAATAAGCAATGCAAAAAACTTTATAATTATAGTTACATCATTACACATGAGTGGTGTTTAAAAAAATAAATTCTTTAAAACTCGAATAAACAGAAAGCCAAATTTGGGGCAAATATTAAATAAATGTGATCACAAAAAAATTCCGAAAATAATGAAATTTACTTTAAGTGGCAAAATACCCCAAAAAATGCCCCAAATTGTTTATAAATAATTTGGGTTTGAGCGCAAGGTAAATCTCTATATTTTGTAATACTTTTTTGTCATAAGTGATCACAACGGTCTAAAGATTTTTTTTAAGATTGTTTTGAATCCTAGTTCCTTCCATAATTGTTGTTTATATTAAAAAAAGATTTTGCAAAAATATAATTTTGCGCCAATATGAGAAAAAATAATTTTATTTTGTGCATAAATTATGCATAAACTTTTTTTTATTTTAAACAGCAACTAGGAAAAAACCAGGATACACAACAATCTAAAAAAAAATTTGGACCATTATGATCACATTAGAAAAAAAAATTTTATTTACTATGCGCTCAAAGCTAAATAATTTAGGAACAATTTGGAGCATTTTTGCCACTTGGGTACAAGGGTGTTTTGTCACCTGAGCACAATGTAAATGTCAATTTTTTTTTTTTTTTTGTAATCTTTTTTTTTTTATATTTGCCCCAAATTTGGCTTCTTGTGTATTTACGTTTTAAAAATTTAATTTTTTTTGAACACCCCTATTAGGTATATGTTACGTGCATTATGTGCAATACATTTGTCAACAAAGCAAATTAATGAGTTCAGGGTTGTTAAAACAGAAAAATTACTACCTTCTATAATATAATATTCAATAATTAGTTTTGCAATAAGTCAATTAATTTAGTTAATTTTAAATTAAGTTTTTATATGGAAAGAAGAATAATAATTTATAAATATAAACTATATAGGTATATTCGTTGCTTTCCAACTTATACGCGCTTTTGGCTTATTTGGTTAAGGCCTTAACTTTGTAGACCTTTGTATTGCAAAATTTGTGTTTTAATAAAATATAAAAGCATTGGGTTTTAAAAATTTGTGTTTAATTTTACTTGCTCTTTTCCTGTTTTTTTAGAATGGTGAAGAATTCTATGTGGCTATCAAAGCTGTCATTTTCTTTTAGATTTTCCATATCAGCTTTCAATTTGTTTTGTTGTACCTATTGATTAATTCTAAAATTATGGTGCAGTCCTTTTTTAAACTTTTCAAATTTGACCGTGCAAACACCTTTTATTAACTGTTTATACGGCGGCCATGCGAATAGTCTTTTTTAGAAGTTGTACAAAGGGCTGTGCCAATAGATACTATCCTTTCAAACGTTTCTCTTTAACAACCCGCTAGCAATTAAAGTAGTGTATCATAAACAAGAAAATTGTTTTAAGCCCTTTTTCAAAATATAAATATATTTTTATATATTTTTAGTATATGCATTTTCCAAATAACATCCTGATTATTTGCTTTTAAATCTCTGATTTTTTTTCAATCAGTCAACCATAACCGGCAAAAATTCCTTTTGGGAGGTCAAAATAGCGTTTTTAGTCAGGCGGTCATTGACTGTTGACCGGCCGTTATTTTCCACGATGTATAACTATGTTATATTAGTATGTTTGTTATACTTGTATGTTTTTTATATTAGTATGTTTGTTATATTAGTGTGTTCGTTTTATTAGTATTTTTGCTATATTTGTAGGTTTTTTTATTATAAGTATGTTTATTATATTATTATGTTTGTCATATTAGTATGTTTGTTATATTAGCACCCCTTCTTCATCTATAAGGCTGGCACAGATGCATTTTTAATACATTGTCTCTTAATGAGGGTATAGCTCTAAAACTCAGTTTTATGGTTCTGAGGCTGACTGGTAGTCAGGTTTCCCGATCTCTGTGGTAGCTCTCAGAGAGGCTGATTCCATCAACAGCTGAAAAATATCAATGTACTAACAGTGCCTTGTTGCACACGGATGATGTCCATGTTTGTACTTTTGGTGTGTTTCGTCAAGGCCACATTTGGAGCCCTTTGTTACGGCTAAGGGTTTATTAATAGTGATGAGGCAATTGCTTGGGCTATTAAACAGTGTACTGAGTACTATCTATGCTTTGAGTCAAGTTCTTTAAGAAATTTAAAAATGAAAAAAGTACTAAAAACTATAAAACGCAAAAAACCGTCAACGCCAAGTTCTCTAAACGTATCATTCACTAATATTTGTAGTCTTCGAAGTAACTTTTTTTCTGTTAAATCTTATCTCTTACAAAGTTTACCAGATCTACTTGCTATTTTTGAGACTAATTTGAGTTCAGCTTTCTCATCTTGTGATCTTAGTGTTGATGGTTATCTTCCTTTAATTTGTAAAAACTCTAATAGTCACATGCTTGGCCTGGGCATCTACATTCGTAAGAATTCACCCATTTGTTGGGAAACTAGGTTTGAATCCACAGACTATTCTTTTATGTGCTTTTGTGTAGCACCACTTCACTCTATCCCTTATCTTTTTGTTCTATATCGCTCTCCTTCATCTCAAGACTGCACTCTTTTTGATGTTATTTCTGATCTAATTGACCAAGTCCTCTCTCTTTATCCATCAACCAATATTTTCGTTGGTGATTTTAATGCTTATCACTCTGAATGGCTTGGCTCTAGTGTCAGTGACTCTTGAGTTAGAGATTGAGAAAGGCAAAAGTACGTTTAGGCACTTTTGCCTTTCTCAATCTCTAACTCAACTAGTCAATTTTCTAATTCATTTTTCAGACAACCTGACTCATTTACTTTTTCTACTCGACCTATGTTTTGTTTCTGATCCTAGTCAGTGCTCAGTTTCTCCACATTTACTCTTAGGTGCTTCTGATCACGGTTTGATCTCTCTAAAACTATTATCTTATTCTTCTTCATCATCAGAATCCCCCTACCATTGTACCTCTTATAACTACCTTTAAGCTGAGTGGGACTCTCTCCGTGATTTTCTTCGTGATGGCACTTGGGTAGAAATCTTTTGTCTATCTGCTGACAAATATGCTTCTTATATAACTTCGTGGATTCAGGCTGGTAATCAGTATCAAAGTATCAAAAGTGATTCCCTGCTTAGACTTTTCTACAGCGTGTGGCCCTGAGAACATACCTGTTGTAGTCTTGCAGAAGTGTTCTCCAGAGCTGTCGTCTATACTTTCAAAACTATTTAACAAGTGCTAATTAGATGCCACTTTCCAGCCTGTTGGAAAGTGGCATCAGTTATCCCTATTTTCAAAAATTTTGGAGAGCGATCTGATTTGTCTAACTACCATTCTATTAGTCTTCTTCCTATCATAAACAAGTTTTTGTATCTTTAATTACAAACATTAAATCTCTCATCTTGAATCTAGTAACTTACTTTCTGATCATCAATATGGATTTCGATCTTCTTCTACAGCTGATTTGCTAATAGTAATAACCGATAGGTTTTATCGTGCATTAGATAAGGTGGAGAGGTTAAAGCCATTGCTCTTGACATTTCTAAAGTTTTTTGATAAAGTTTGGCATGCTAGTCTTATCCATTAGCTTTCTTCTTACGGTGTATCAGGTAACATCTTTAAGATTATTGAATCTTTTCTTTCCAATCGTAATATAAAAGTTGTTCTCGATGGACAGCACTCTTCTTTATATTCTGTAACTTTAGGGGTTCCTCAAGGTTTAATCCTTGGCCCTATACTCTTTAATTTACATTAACAATCTTCCAGATATTCTCACATCTAATTTGGCATTGTTTACTGATGATACTGCCATTTATTCTTATCATGATAAGAAGTCAGCCTCTCTGATTGCTTGGAGGGGGCATTAGAGCTTGAAAAAGATTGCACTTCTGCTACAGCATGGGGCTCATAATGACTGGTGAAATTTAATTCAGATAAAACTCTTTAATTTTCAGCCAATCGTTATCGCAACAATTTAGATCCTCCTATGTTTATGAACGGTAAATCTACCCTTCATCTTCTAGGATTAACTCTTCTGATCTTTCTTGGAAAGCGTATATCAAATCCATTGCATCTGCTAATGTTGCATCTTTTAAATCTTCATACATTGCAATCTTTTCAGTCTTCTATCAATCGTTATTTAGTTCTACAATATTCATTTTTTTTCTTCCAGTAACTTCCAACTCTAACAGTGGTTGCTTGCAGCCTTTGTTGGAAGTGAAGTTTTCAAAAAAGGTATAAAAATATGTTTGTTATATTAGTGTATTTGTTATATTTGTATTTTTGTTATATTAATATGTTTGTTATATTTGTATGTTTGTTATACTAGTATGTTTGTTATATTAGTATATTTGATCTATTTGTATGTTTTTTATACTAGTACGTTTGTTATATTAGTATGTTTGTTATATTAGACTACTATCGTATTGTACTGGAAAGTACCTTCAACCACGAAAATAATGATAACCGTTTGTCAACCATTATCATTATTTCATTTATTGTTATCTTAAATTTTTTTTCCTGCGTTTTTCTATTATAGGTTACCAAACCTTGTTTACAGTAAAACTTATTTTTGATCGTACTTTTCTCAATACTATTTTAAAAAATGAGTAGTTACAATAAATTTATAATCAAGTCTTGAATAAAAAATGAAAAAGAAAGTAAAGCATACTGGAAAATTTACCAAACGTTGGTCGCTGTTTTAAGAAGAATATCTTTTAAAGAAAACATTAAATTTATAAACATATTCTTTAATGAATATCATTTATTTTATTTGCCCCAATACTCTATTTCTTAGCACTGCATCAAGCATATTTTTAATGTTAAATTTTTTTTTAAGGTACAAATCTTGGTGTGAATTCTGAAGCAGGAAATTCTTCTAAATCATTAAAGAAACTTGTTTCAAAAAATACGTCTCCGTCTAAAGAATTTGAAAAGAATAAATGACAAAATAATTTGAATTATATATTAACCTTCAACCGCAAAAATAAGTAGCAAATATTATTTTTTTCTAAATAGAACATTTTACGTTGTATATTTTAATTAAGCTCGACGACAAAAAAGTTATTTCCTAATTTTTCAGATTTTTAGTCGATATTGAGTTAATGAATTATTGTTGTTTTTTTTTTAATTTGTTTATATTTAAAAAAAATTAAAAATTGTAATGCAAAAAATTTTTAAGGTGCAACTACTGAATCTTCTCACTAGATTTTAGGGTAGTTTGTTTATTTTTAGGTTGAATTCATTTGTATTTAGATCATGGTTTTTTTGGACTTGAGTGACTGTCTGCGCATGCCTTGTTTTTTATGATTGTTTTTAAGATTTTTATGTTGTTGTTTTTGTTGCTTTGTGTTTTATTAAGTTTGCGTTTTATTAAACATAAAATATAGCTGTTGATTAGTTTAAAATGTCACTTAACTCACAAGTTTATATAGCACTTCAAAGAAAAAGTTAGTCCGTAGGAGAAGAACATTGGAAAAAAACATCATTTTCTTTAAAGTTAGGCAACCAAATATTATAATAATGGTATAGAATTTTCGGTATCACAATATCCTTTGGAAACAAGAAAGGATGACAGAGTTATTACAAGAAGAAGCTGTTTATAATTGCATCGATAAAAACTAGTCTTTGTTCCTTGATTTTTTTTGGATAATCAAGTATTTGTGGCAAAAAAATAAAATGTCTATATCCAGATTTTGGACTTATGAAAGAATTTAAAATGATTTTTGTGCCCTTTTTCAATACAATCATTACATTTTTTTACTAAAATTTCCAAATTAGACAAAGGAAAAATTTGTTTATTTAGTGTTTTAATAAAAGCGATTACTGATTCTTAAAGGAAAAACTCACAGAAATAAAAAACAAAGGTTTTTTATTTCTGTGAGTTTTTCCTTTAAGAATATCTTTAAATATCAATAGAACATTTAACCGTGCAACCTCTGCTACTGCTTCTTCTACTGAAGTTAATAACAAATAATGATATAACTTTTAATTATACGAATGTGCAAGCAAGTAATAATGATATTTTTTATAGTTTGAAACTTATTCAAGCACTAAAAGATTTTGTCTCTTCACTATTGTTAATTTATTTTACTTATTAAAATATTGTTAATTGACACCTTCAAATATGCTTTGAACAAGCCTAAAAAGTGCATTTGAAATTATTTTAAATTGGTTATCACTATTCCTTTGCTAGACCATCCCATCTGAGTACTAAGTTTAACACAATGTTTGATAATACAACTTTAAAGTTTTATAATGTACCTGTTTTTTTGTCCTAATCTTTGATTCTTCAAAAAACAATAGCAGAAATTCAGTGTTCTCGTTTTACTAGTTGAAAAGACCACATCATATCTTTTAGTGCCTTTTATTTAACCAAAGGTTTTATTTATTATTGCCAAACCAATGGCTTTATTACATGAGTTTGACCTGTGGAAAGTTTGGTTGCATTTCACTTAACTGGCTGAATTTTAAAAATGAACTCTAATCTAATAATAGTGGGAGTGTATTTAGCAAACTTTTTTTTGCCTAAGTTTGATGTAAAGTTCATAACTGTGAAATTTGTATTTACAAAACTTGCGCAGTTGCGTTTAACAAAACTCGCGTAAGTTTTTTTTGTAAGTTCAGCGCTATGTATTCTCCAAGCTGAAATGGTAGTCACCAAACTTTTTAAAAACTGAAAAAGCTCAATTTAAGTGAGAAAAGTTATGTTAGCTTTGAGCTGCCTTAACTTTGGCAAACCGCAAGATTGGGTGGCTTTGCCCCTACGGGGTAAAGCCACCCAATCTCTACGCCCAAGCGAAATTTTTGTTTAAAAATGGTTTAAAATTGATACCTCAAGGTATGCCAGTTGATGTTTAGTAGCAAATTGTGGGAAATTTATTATTTATTTAGTCTAACTTAGCTTACTCAACTCGAGTCTTTGCGATATTATTGTAAATTGCACTTTAGAAGAAGCACCTAAAATCAGAATTTTTTTAGGTGTGTCAACTTTTACATCGATAGCAGTACCTGTAGAAGGTTTTTTTATTGGAATATACACTGAATTAATTTTAAACCATTAGTGTTTGATTCTATCTTGTTTTGAAAGCTTAACAGTTTATTACTTTTTTGTAATTGAGGTTAAAAAAAAATAGGTTGTCTTTGGCCCACTGCATAGGGTGCATTGGCCCGGGCTAAAGTCACCCCATGTATAAAGTATAGAGTAAACCTTTTTTAGTGATCATATATAGATATTATGGTAGTTACTATGTTGGAATGAAAAATTTTGTAGTAGTAATGCAACAGAAAATCAGTATAACAGTTTGTATTAGTAAATCAGTATAAAATTATAGTGAAATTTGTTTAGTTCTTAGTTTAAATATGCCACAAAATTACAAGCCAAATCATGGAAGAAAAAAATATGTTACTTTAGAATATTTCGACAATGCATTAAAAGATTTGAAGAATGGTTTAATTATTCAAAGACAAGCTTTGTAATACGATATACCAAGATCAACATTAAAAAATAAAATAAAACAGACTTATCCTGAAAAGTATGGTGGTCAGCAAATATTTACATCAAAAGAAAAAGACATGTTTAAGACATATGCAATAAAATCATCTGAGTTTGGTTTTCCTGTTGATAATTATAATTTAAGATGGATAGTAAAAGGGTATTTAGAGAAAAAAGGCGTTATTATACCTCAGTTCAAAAATAATTTTCCATGTGGCGATTGGATTCGATCTTTTCTAAAAGAAATCCAGAACTCACAGTAAGATTTGCAAGCAACATAAAGCGAAAGAGAGCAGAAATAGGAATGACTGTGATTGATAACTACTTTATAAATCTATCAAATGAAATAAGTAATATATCACCTGATAATATATGGAATTATGGTAAAACCAATCTCAGTGATGATCCAGGTAAAAAAAAAATATACACAAAGCGTGGATGTAAGTATCCTGAACGCATCATTAATTCTACAAAGACCTCATTCTTTGTAATGTTTTGTGGCAATGCTAATGGTGAATTGCTACCACCTTATGTTGTTTACAAAGCTGAGTCGTTATGGAATACATGGATGGAACATGGGCCACCAAAAACACGTTATAACAGATCAAAAAGTGGTTGGTTTGACTCAACACCTTTTCGACTGGTTTTTCTCTTTACTTCTTCCAAGACTTAAGAAGGCTTAAGGAAGAAGTGTCATTATAGGTGATAACGTATTTCACATTTGAGCATTGCAGTACTGGATGCATGTCAAAGCAATAACATAGGATTTGTGGCACTACCAGCACAACTCTACACATCTCACGCAGCCATTAGATGTTGCCTACTTTAGACCTATGGCGCAAAATGTTATGTGAATGGAAGAAGAAAGGAAAAGGAAGGAAAGTTGCTTCTCTTCCTAAAAATGAATTGCATAGACTTTTAGACCGTTTAACTACCAACTTAAATGAACATGGGAATAATAACCTTAGAGCTGGTTTTCGCAAAACTGGAATTTTTCCATTAGACAAGTCTCAAGTGCTTTCACGACTACCATGTTGTAATGTAGATTTAGACTCAACTACTGATTTAGTAAGCCAATCATTTTTAGATTATTTATGTAAGTCACTGGATGATCCCTCAGATGGTTCTAAAAAATCAAAGCGACGTAAAGTCTGTGCTGTCCCAGGTAAAAGCTTATGTTCAACAGATATATCATCTTGTGCTATAAATGAAAATAATAGATTAAATTCAAATAATGTAGGTACACCTATCAGTATTATAAGTACAATTGAGACCAACAACATTGACTTTGCTGGCCCAAGTACAAATACTGGAACTACTGAGACTTCTTATCTAATTTTTGCAAATGTAAGTTTAGTTGTAGAAAGTCATACAGAATCATTAGATCATTTAGCATTAGGCAAAAAGAACTTTCAAAATATTGATAAAACAAAAAATGTTTGTAAAAAGGAGAAATTATTAAATCTTGTAGAGAATTGTTATGTAATTGTTAAATGCAATGGAGAGTTAAATCCTGGACAGGTTTGTTTATTTATTTTGAGTTATTTATATTTAGCTAATCAATTAGTAAACTTTATAACTAATTAATTTAATAACTAGTATTATTTAATGAAATTACTGAAAAATTTTAAAAAAACTTTCGAATTTTTTTTTTCTGCAGTTAAAAAAATTAAGAAAAATGGAGCAGAAATTACTATTATGAAAAAAAATGGACTTAACTGGAAATGGTCATTACCAGCAAAGCAAATTTTTTTTCCCCAGTCTGAAATAGTCGATTTTATTGAGGAACCAAAGAAAATTTCGAAAAGAGGAATTTATTTAGTTCCAGAACTTTTTCACTAAATTTTTTAAAACATTATTTTTGTCATTTTTGTTTACTTTATACCTCAACTGTTTTGTTTAATTGGTATCTATACTTGTTTAGTTTGTACCTATATTTTATTTACTGTATACAAGAACTTTGTTACTAAATCTTTTTTTGTCACTTTATTTTTGTAAATTTATTTTCTTTGCCTAAATATTGTTGTTTTTATTGTTGTTTTGCTTCCTTTAATTCCTTTTTACAGGGTTGGGCCAAAGTCACCCTAACACATAGGGCAACTTTGGCCCACCATTTAAACCACCCAAAAGATACTTCAGGTAAATAGTTTTCAAATGGGAGACAGATAGTTCTAACTGTCCTTTCTATGCGCTTCTAAAAGTACTTAGTGTTTGAGGAAATAACTTTTGTGGCTTTCATGCAATAGACATTGAGATGCAAAATGGGCCGAAGCCACCCAATCTTACGGTAAAGTTAAAATTACTAAATTTTAGAAATGGTGAAATATTATGATTCATATACAGCTATATTGTTAGATTGATATAGAATCTTATTATAATATATAGGCGCGGATCTAGGGTATAGCCGTTGTGTCTAAGGCTACACCTTATAATAATTAACGAAATAAAAAACAATATAATACTCCAACATATTTTTAAAATAAAAATAATATAAATAATTAAGATACGTTTATTTTTATTTACTGTGTAAATTCGGCTTTAAAAGCAATTACTTAAAACCAAAAAAAAAAACGGAATTAAAAAAAGATCGGTCATTGCATATCGGTTTGTGGCTAAGCCACAAACGACCTGATTTTACTGCATAAGCTGACTAAATTATTGTTTTTTTTAAACGTAATATATTTTTATTCAAAAATCGTATGCCGTCAACACTTGTAGCCCGTGGCTAGATTGCTTTTTGCCTTGTGGCTGTACTTATTTCCCTGTCTTTTTATGCCAAGCGTTTTTTAAATATGTAAAGCGCCTTTATTATTTTCTCAGTAAGTTGGTAATTATGGCGGATATGTTTTGAAAAAAAAATTGTTCCAAATGCTATTGATTCACATTCATAACATTAAATGTTGCAAAAAAAATTGTTTACAAAGCGAAATAGTTTAAATATCTCATCAGTTTAATTTCGTAGTAAAACTTTTGGCTTGAAAATGCCCTGATATAAATGTTAAAATATATTTTAAAATTGATCAAAACTTCTGTAGATTTAAGGTATATTTTTAACTATGTTTTCACCGACTATATTTGTAATAAAAATAACTAGCTTTTTATAACTGTAACTAGTTTACTTACATACAACTGTTTCTGTACTTATTGTTTTAAAATTCTAGATACATCACACAACGTTTTGTACAAAACGTTGTGTGATATATCTTGAATTTTAGTAAAAAAAAATTTTATATTAAAATTTATTATTTTGATAACATTTTAAATATTTTTTTCAAAACTCATTAAAAGAATAATTTTTTTTTTAGGTTGTAAAGGAAGGGGGCAATGACACGCCCCTCCCCACCTACACCCCTTAAAACAATTGGTGCGCTGCTAGTGATGTTGTAAAGTAGTAAAATAAAGTTTTTGAATACTATATATTTTTTTTAATTACAAAAATAAATTAAAAAGAGTCATTTTTTATAATAGAGTGTTTAAAACTCATCATCCTTACATCCAATCTAGGCAATGATGAAACTTCTATATTTAACTGTTGTCTGATAGCTAATTACAAAGTCATCTTGCATATAATGCGAACGCATTATTTATTATTTTTTAAATAAACTCGATTTTTTTTTCTCTCCTCATTATTTATAAAGAAATAATAAAAAAAAATTGTAACTGGGGTCAGAAAAAAAAACACAGTTCTGATTTAGTACACACGTGAAATTCAATGTTTTTTGTTTTTTTTTAAATAAAACCGTGTTTAGGAGAGATAGTCAAACCACGTACGTACTCATTGTCTTTAACACCCCTTCTTCCCTATTACGCATTTGTACGCTTTTGGGAGACCCTCTTCCCCCCCCCCCATACCTGCGTACGTACTTTATTGATGCCCCTTTTTAGTTAATTTGGCTGAGGTAAGCAGGCTTTGTGAGAAGAAAAATGCTTGAAAGTTTTTGAAGTTCCAGGTTTTATCTTTTTATAATTAGATCTTCGTAATTGTTTATATTAACTATTATTTTTGCTTTTATATTGTTTTGTTATATTAGTATATTTTATTATAATTAGTATATTTAAACGAGTTTTTAAATCTGTTACATTATATAAGTAATGAGCTGAAGTGTTCACAAATTTTCTATTTTTACAGATTTAAATGTTTTATATTATAACTAAAAAACGGTAATAACTTTGAAGGGGCAAAACTCGATTGGTTCATGAGATAAAAACTTAATTTAAAAAAGAAAACAATAGTATTTTAGGTGGGCAGTTTATTTGCATATTAATTTTTTAATAAAACTATTGTCTTACATAGTCTAATCGGCACCGAGTTGACTCAGAAAGGCGCTGTACATTTCCATTTTAGAAAGGCAATACCTTATTCTATTTTACAATTTCTCAAGATAATCAGCTTTCCAATTATTCAGTACTATATTTTTTCCAACTATTTTGTACAGATTTTGTGTAATGAGACAAAGCCAGATCTGGTCAAAGTATGTATTTTTTGTGGTCAATCATTGTTTCACGTTTTTCGATGTTCTTTTTTTTCATTATTTTAGCAATCCTACCACTTTCTAGGGTCTCTTTAGTGCCAGAATAATTTTCAGCACGTCAAATAATGGTATAAATGGTGTTAATAGGAATTTTTTCAGTAAAAAAAGCGATTAACTGTAAACTTTTTCTCTTTAGATTGATTTTTCTAATAAAAGTTAAACGTTCTCAACAAGCTTCTTGTTTTTCTTTCATTTTCCTCTGTAACAATAAATTATTTTAATTTAAAATAAAACAAATTTTGTAGAGAATTAAAAGTGCTACAACTAGGTAATAATGCAACCATAATCAATATAATGTATGTTAGATAACTTTGTCTTCTAAGTCATTACCGTTTTTTAGTTATAACCCGTTATTAATAATTTTTCATACAAATATTGATGCATATCTTGAAAAACTGTGTTTTTTCCATATATATTCATTAATATTCATTTATGTGTTGCATGTTCAAAAACAAAAACAATTTGTAGTTTGTTTTTCAAAATTGATAAACATCTGATACAAGATATCAGATATACTTTGTATGAGGTTAGATTTATCTGATACAAAGTATCAGTTTGTTAAAAACCTTGATGTTTGTGTGAAGGTTATCTAGTAAAGCCATGATCCAAGCAGGGATGCGGAGTTCCAAAAGGACTCTGAATTTGTATGTCACAAAAAAATTACTTCAAGTATTGTGAATTTCAAAATAGGTATCACAGATCAGGCTAGCCACTGGTCATGGAAATCATAGAAATGTCATGAAATTTTATTTGGTCATGGAACTTTTTAAAATTACCTCTATTTTTTTCTACCTGCGATATTTTTAGGGTGCAAAGAAAAGTACTAGTATGTTTAGTTTAAGTTCTTTTTGAAAAATATATTTTTGCAGTGTATCAGAGAAGTAAAAGAGTTTTTTTTAGACATGATTTCAGAACTTTCTACCAATTAGTTTTTGGTTTGCATGTTTTATAATGACCATGTTGCAAATGCTTAGTGCATGGCAAGGTTTATGGCTTTTTATTAAAAAAATTTGTGCTGGCAAACATCAAAAAGAATGCACGAGCAACAAATTTTTTGGTTTCATTTTGTTTATAAAAATCCTTTTGCATTTTGATTATATCCCGATTTCAGAAATTATATTTGTTCAAATTAATTATATTTTTTTAGACTTGGATTTTATTTATATCATTGCAAGATATTTTCATATAATCTTCATAAAAATAAGATATTCAAAATATGAAATTAATTATAAAATAATTTATTTTTATTAGTTTTTATAAATATTACCTGTTATAAAAATATCAATAAGATGACACGTTTCTTAATGTTTTGCTCTTTTTTTTATAATAAATTAAGGTGTAAATGTATATAGTAGTTCTATTGGTTTAAGGTTAAGTTGTTAAATTGGTTTAAAAATAAATTATTTTATTGGTTTAAGATTAAGTTAAGGTTATTTATTTAATCCACAACATATCTAAAGTTAGGCTGTTGAACAAGCTATGCAAATTGCAGTGTGTGTAGATTTATGAAATAGAATATACTAATTGAATTAAAATAGAACATGTATGATAAATTGATAGGACAGTAGTAATTTTTTATTTTTGTTTTTTAGGTATTAACAGGCTGTACTTGACGACTTACTTTCCTGCAACGAAATCAAAAGAACCTTCAAATACAAACCAATTTAAAATAATTTTTATTGCAGGATTTTCTAAGAAGAATTTTCCGTTTATTTTATTTACTAATTAGATTACTTATATTTCATAATTTCTATAAACTATTTTTGGAGATTAATTTTGGTGTTTTACAAAATTTTAAGTTTAAAAAATTATTTTACATATAGATTTTTAGTTGGTTAAGCTTCAGCTACGCGGCGTAAAATAATTATATTTTTGCACTTGTTGCGCCAGGGGTTTGCTACATCGGCTATCTTATAGCCTGACTCGCAACGGAGTGCTGCTACATCGACTATCTTATAACCTGCTGCTACAAGGAAGTGCTGCTACATCGACTGAGGGTTTGGCATGGGGCAGCAATCTTTTTTCTTTTATTATTTCAATTATATTCCTATTGTTTGTAAAGCCTCTACTGACAAGCGGAAAAATAAAATTATTTTACGCCGCTTAACTGAAGGATTACCTTTTAGTTTTTTAATAATTAATTTTTATTCAGAAGTACAATTATAATTGGAGTGTCCGATTTTTGTAATATTTTTTCTGCAAATATCAATTTGATATTAAGTTATCAATGTGAAAGTATAATCTTAAGATATAATTCAAAAAATGGTTCAAAAAATGAGGTACATAAACATACGCTTTGTTTTCTTATTAAGTTTAGCGCAAAATATCTGTACCGATTGAAACCACTCGCAAAAACTTTGGTCTATTAAAAATTTGGTAGGCTCTCTTGTCAAACCTTATTCTGACGCTGTCCTTAAGGTCTGAAAAGGTAAAAAACGATTTCTTCATTTAAAAGAATGCCAACCCCAAACCCTCAGTCGTTGTTTGCACACTCCACTGCATGTTCTCTCTAAAAATTATTCGGTGTATGTGCACACCGCTGCGAAAATCCCTATATACCCCATTTTGCATATTTCCTAGAAATTCGAGTTCGCGGACGCAAAGGACGTTTAACGTCTGAACAAGGGTTTGGCAAGAGTACGTTCCTAAAATTTTACTGTTATTTTTACATGGTTTCCACTTACTATGACTTTAAGTGTGAAAACACGCGCAAACTGGCAATCGGGAGATTTTGAACAAAAACCAACGCCGTGGCTGTATATCAAGAGTAGGTACAATCGGCGGGGTGGGGCGGATCATTTAAACGGTACAAATGGCGGAGCGGATCATTTAAACATTACTAACATTTGATAAAGCAAGTCATATTTCAAAAAAAAAAATGATTTAGATAAAGCTTAATTTTATTAAAGATATAATATTTAGAAGGTATTTGCATATAAATATTTTATTGAACGACAAAAAATATTATATAATTTTATAATATATTAATGAACTTAAAAAACAACGTGATCCTCCAATTTATATTAAGCGATTCGCACAACTATATCAAGTGATTTGCGTAATATTTAGCTTATTTGGATCAAACTCTATAAATTTTAATAATTGTTTTATCAAATAACAATGTGATCTGCGAAATTTTATAAAGTGATCCGCTAATATTTTAATTGTTTGAATCAAACTCTATAAGTTTTAATGATTGATCTACCAAAAAATAACGTGATACGCCAATTTATATAAAAAATATCCGCAAATATTTATCAAATGATCTGCCTAATATTTCGATTGTTTGAATCAAACTCTATAAGTTTTCATGATTGTTCTACCTAAAAACAACGTGATCTGCCATTTATATCAAGTGATCCACCAACTTATATCAAATGATCCGCATAATATTTTGACTGTTTAAATCAAACTTCATTAATTTTAATAATTGTTTTACCAAAAAACAACGTGATCCGCCAGATTGTTTGAATATTAATGATATATATGTTTGAAATAAATGTCGGATCACGTTGTTTTTTGGTAAAACAATCATTAAAATTAATAGAGTTTGATTCAAGCAATCAAAATATTATGCGGATTACTTGGTATAAATTGTTGGATCACTTGATATAAATGATGGATCACGTTGTTTTTTGATACTTTATAATGTATTATAAAATTATATAATATTTTTTTTTGTTCAATAAAAATTTATATGCAAATACCTTCTTAACATTAATATACTAATATACGTAGAACAATCACTTAAATCTATAGTTTGTACCAAACAAGCAAAATATTAGGCGGATTACTTGATATATATTGACGGATCATTTCATTTAAATTGGTGGATCACGTTGTTTTTTGGTAGAACAATCATTAAAACTTATAGAATTTGATTCAAACAATCGAATTATTAGGCGGATCACTTGATAAATATTTGCGGATCATTTTATATAAATTGGCGGATCACGTTGTTTTTGGTAGAACAATTATTAAAACTTATAGAGTTAGATTCAAACAAATAAAATATTAGGCGGATTACTTTATAAAATTTCGCGGATCACATTGTTATTTGGTAGAACAATTATTAAAATTTATAGAATTTGACCCAAATAAGCAAAATATTATGTAGATCACTTAATATAATTGTGCGAATCACTTGATATAAATTGGCGGATCAAGTTGTTTTTTGAGTTCATAAACTTTATAATGTATTATAAAATTATATAATATTTTTTGTCGTTCAATAAAAATTTATATGCAAATACCTTCTAAATAATAATATACTAATAATAATAATATTTTAATATTTTAGATATATTAATAATTTAAATGGTAATATAATTTAGTTTTTTTTTCTATTTATTAGATAAATACATACAGAATACAAAATTTAAAAAAAGTTTACAAAAAAATGAAATATTAAGTAATAATTAGGTATAACTACATGGTATTAAAAAAATTAGACAAAAAAAATTATTCATAAATTTAGACGCACGATACATTAGAAGGCCTAATTTATAAACCAATCAATATTTTGTGTATCCGCCTTTTGCTTTAATACAACTAAGAACTCTTCTAGGCATAGACTCAACAAGATTTTTGCACATCGCTTCTGGGACCCCATACCAGGTCTCCTTAAGGAATTCCTTCAGCTGACTAAGTGTGGAAATTTGAACCTTTGCTAATTCACGGTCAATCCAAGCCCAAATGTTTTCAATCGGGTTCAAATCAGGTGAGTATGGAGGCCACGGTATTGTCATGATATTATTATCGTTGAACCACTCCTTTGCATAGTATGCAGTATGTGCAGTTTCCATGGTTTATCATTGAGCATAAGCAGGTCAATTGATGGAATTAGGTTGTTTTCCAGTACTTCTACGTATATTCTGGAGTTGATTCTTCCGCTGTATGTTTGGCACATACCAACACCTTTGTAATTGAAGCATGACCAGATTCCTATCGAGCCTCCTCCACTTTGTACAGTCGGTCTAATGTACCTGGAGTAATACTTTTCGTGAGCCATTCTTTTGACTGTTAGGTTAGATTTGCGATTGATAAGCTCAAAGTTACTCTCATCACTCCACGTAATGTTTTCCCATTTTTCTATTGTCCAATACCTTCTTTCACGAAACCATTTTAGTCTCCTTTGTTTATCATATGGACGCAGAAGCGGTTTCTTCAAAGCAGTGTAGACTCCAATCTTGTATTTGATAAGTATTCGGCGGACTGTGCTTTGAGAAATAGATGTATTTCGCGTTGTATTGAATTCTGTGGTCAATTCTTTGTAACTAATTTTTGGATTAGCTCTGACAGCTCTAAAAAGAACACTATTGTCCTTTCTGGTGGTTGACAAGGGTCTACCTGGCCTTGTTTTCTCGCTGGCACCACCAGTGTGAAGAAAGTTTTGTTTCGTTGTCCGAACGCATTTCTCAGAAACTCCAATTAACTTGGCGATTTCTCTATTACTTTTGGTTCCTTCTTTGATGTGCGCAATAATTTGCCATCTTTCACCTTGAGTGATACGTCTTTTGCTCATTTTTCGCGTCTTTTTAGTGCAAAACTAACTTAACTTTGGTTTATTTATTAAATAATGATTAACTAATTCCAGGTAAGTCATATTTATATAAGGTTTTTTGACAAAATCAATTTATTTAGGCCTATTAATGTGAAATATGGGAAAAAAACTACTAATTAACTATCAATTAACAAGATATAAGACTTTTTTGATTGTGCGTCTAAATTTATGAACAAAATAAAATCAAGCTTATCAATTAACTTTTTTGTGTTAATCGGTATAGAATGAGTAATAAACATCCTGTAAAAAAATTAAGGTACTCTACACTCTAAAAACAGTCCCTTAAAAAAAGTAACGGATTGCGCTTTTTCGTTAAATTAACGAATTAATTCGTTACCAAAAACTAGAAAATTAACGGAGTAAAATTAACTATTTACGGATTCTTTAAAATTTCGTTAATTCAACGGATTAAATATTCTAAACGGTCAAAAAAAATTTTTCAGAATATTATAGCTTTTTATTTTGAAAATGATAAAGTTTTGAATGCGTTTGTCTCCCATTTACATTTACATTGTAGATAAAAGTTGGTTGCAGTAAGTGTAATATGCCATTTTTTTAAAAAACTTTACATTTAGTAGACAAAGCAAATGGATAAGTATAATTTAAATTACGCTCTGTTATTTGTAATTTCGAAGGTTATTTTAAATTTTCTATATAAAGCTTTATATAGAAAATTTAACAATAAGGTTTATTTTGTTTTAAATTAAAAGCCATTAGTATTACTAAATAATATATAATAACATATATGGTAAGTTAATACATATCATATATGGTAAATTACTACATGTCTAAATCTAGAAAATTATGCAAGAATATATGCAATCCATATAGTCTATATTATAGAAATAAAAGTTCAACTAATCATTTACTAGTAGTAAAGGGTTAGTTGAACAATTATTTCTATAATATAGACTAAATGGATTATTTATAGTCTTTTTTAATTTTATATATACTACATATGACATGTAGTATCATACCATATTAGTTTAAATCAGTTGTAAAATTAATAATGTTAACATCTTTGATAGGTATATTAATTTAGGTTAGTTACAGCTAACTTCTATTTCTTTTAACATTCATGTTTATTTAATTGAGTTACAACTAAGGTTATATATGAGTTATTTATACTATCTTAGAATTTTCTGCTTTAGAGGCACGGCATTTAGTGTCACATTGTAGGTTTAAATTGGTTGTAGAATTTATATCGTAACTTGCATATTTATTTAGTTGAGTTTAATCTAAGTTTATATTTGATGTGTTTGTATCATTTTAGAATTTACTGTTTTAGACACGTGGCATGTGGTATCCCACTGTAAGTTTGAATTAGTAAATTAAAAAATATATATATTTTAACTTGCATTTCTTTTGACGTTCATGTTTATATAATTAGATTACAACTAAGTTTGTGTATGGCTTGTTTATATTATTTCAGAATTTGCTATTTTAGACACTTGGTATAAGCTGTCATACTGTAAGTTTAAATTGGTTGTAAAATTTATATTGTAACTTGCATTTCTATTGGCGTGCATATTTATTTAGTTGAGTTTTAACTATTAATAATAATAAAAATAAGTTTACATCTGGCGTGTTTATATTATTTTAGAATTTGCTGTTTTAGACACGTGGCTTGTGATATCCCACTATAAGTTTGAATTAGTAAATTTAAAAAAATTGTATTTTAACTTGCATTTCTTTTGGCATGCATATTTATTTAGTTTAGTTAAGACTAAGTTTATATCACACTTTTTTAATTATTATTCTACTATATTCTATATTCACTATTATTTTAGAATTAGCTATTTTAAACATGTGACAAGTGGTATGACACTGTAAGTTTAAATAAGTTGTAAAATTAATTTTTTTATATAGTTGCTTGCGTTTTTTTTGGTCTGCATATTTAATCTTGTTTTAATTTATCATAGTTTTTAAAAGGTTAGAGACCTTATTTTTTGCTTCTGATAGGTATTGATGTATGTGAAATGTATAGCGTCTTTTAGTTATCAGATAATGTCAAAGTAATCTTATACTTTTTTTTTAATTTACATTTTAATAAAGATATAATTTACTTGTTCCATTTAACTTTATCTTTAGAAAACGATATCAGAGATAATTAAAATAACAAAATTTAAAATCGAAATTTATATATAATGAATTAGCAAAAACATTTTCTATAGTGTTATCAGTAACATTTTATTTTGGTTTTATACTAGATATGTTATTAAGTTTCCATTTTATTTTATATTAATCTTTAAGGAGTTGACAGCATGGTGTCCGATTTAAAGTGGGAACCTGTGTACGAGTAACAACAGTATTCAAAACCAAAACCTATTTAAACCAACCAAACCAAAACTAGCGACCAAAAACTAATATCTTGGCATTGGTTTATTTTAAACATCTATTATATATATGTGTGTGTTTTATATAAGTGTACTAGCTTGAGTATAGTGTATTAAAAATATTTTTTTTAACTATTTTTATTGTAATTTAAAGTATATTGGATTAAATATTATAAATATTTGATTAGTTTTCAATTTTTGGTTAAAACGTTTTAATGTAGAATATCGAAATAAAATAATGCAATTAAATAAAAATGCAAACATTAACAAATATAAGGATTATTTGGTTATGAAGTCACAATTCTGGCCTCTTTAATTTTAGATTTTAGTGATTTCAACGAAATAATCACTAAAATAACTTATTAACACATTTATTTCATAGGAATAACAACCGCGGAATATTTGCTGCCTAGTGTAATAACTCCTTAATTTTAACGGATTATTCGTTGCACTAACGAAGTAAATCCGTAAATTCAACGGACTATTCCTAACGGAGTTCAATTCGTTAAAATTTTAATTCGTTAACTTAACGGATTTCCCGTTAATGCAATAGCGACAGATATAATTCGTTGTATATAACGGATTTTTTCTTAGAGTGTATAATAGAGTTTCACTTCCTCTTTTAAATTATTTATCAAACATAGCGGTAGCACTTTTATTTTATTTTTATTTTGAGTATTTCCTTACATATATGAAAAAAAAATGAATGCGTCTAAATTTGTGAAAGCTACCCAGTGGGCACAGGACGTAAAAAAGACGTCCTTAGGACGTTCAAATCGCGTCCGTCCGTCCCATTAAAACTCTAAACGTCTTTTGAACGTCTTTTTCGCGTCCAATAATTATTTCGTCCAAAAAATATCCAGAATGCTTTCTTAAATAAAAAAAAATCAGTTAAATCACGCAAGCGCTAAATCTTTTTAAAATTTTTAAGTAACGCATTTTTGATTAATTTTTTTTTTCAATTACAAAAGAAGTCTTTTTACAACAACTAATAGACACGTTCCATCTAATTTTTGTTTTTGTTATCAATTACTTGAAAATTGTGGTAATATTGATACAAGTAATGAAATTTTTACAGATAATGAAAGAAACGGTTTAAAACTGAATATATGCTATACTATGTATAAACATAGTATAAAATATATATATAAATTAGCAAGAACCTGTCTATAAGTCGCTTTTCATAAGGTGTTTTTAAAATTCTCCTTGCAATACTATACTAATAGTATATCAAGTATATATATATATAATGTATATATATATACTTGATATACTATTAGTATAGTAATGCAATATCAAGAACCAAGTTCTAACAATTTCAAAGATTTAGACATCTCATGCAGAATCAAATTTTTCAATAGGAAAACCTGTTAATGATACATGGAACAATTATCCTGATAATTCTTTGAATTCAATGTCTTTAATCGACAGCATTGTGCTATTTTATAATGGAACCAGTACATTAGTTAATGATCTTCTTGAAATATTGCCAAATCAAGGTTTGGAACTTCCCAAAGATTCAAGGAGAATTTTAAAAACACCTTATGAAAAGCGACTTATAGATAGGTTCTTGCTAATTTATATATCAGATAATAAAAGAGTAGAATAAGTCACTAAGGAAAAGGAGGAAAGGAAATTTTCTACCCTCCTCATAGTATATCTTATACCCAGTTTTTAACTCTTTATTTCAATATATTTCAATATATATATTTTTATACATATATATATTTTTTTATACATATACATATATATTTTTAAACACTTAATTACTTGAGAATCGTATTAATATCGATACATATATTGAAATAAATAGTTAAAAACTGGGTATAAGATATACTATGAGGAGGGTAGAAAATTTCCTTTCCTCTAGGAGGAAAGGAAATTTTCCTTTAGTGACTTATCCTACTCTTTTATTATCTAATTATCTAAAAGTATCCTTTAGAAGATAGATGTAAATAATTTTTCTTTTTTATCATTCTTTAAAAGTTCAATATGAATAATTTTAATTAAAATCAATATTTATATTTATTATTTGATAAAATTTATATTTTAGTAACTTATCCAACTTAAATAAGAATAAAAAAAATATATTTAAAGATGGAATTGATTTAATATTTTTTTGAAATGATTTTTTATAATGATATTTTGAAAAATTATGGTTTTAGTTTTAGTATTTAGTAAAAGAATATATAACACAGCAAAAACATTTAAATCAGAATTTCAGTGGAGCAATATAGGCATTTTAGGTCATTGCAGTTTTGGTCATCGTTTACTTAATGGCCTATTAGTGGCAGCAGGCAAAAGTGCCTAACACATGAATAACCACTATATCGCATGTTGGAATGTTATTGGCAATTTACTAAGTAACCAATGAGAAACACTCCTTAATTTCTCCTTTTTTTTTTATCATCTAGGAAATTTTATTAAAGTAAATGGATTATACTTATTAATAAAGAGTTTATATAGTCCTTTGATTGATTGCAAACCTATATTTCTATTGTATATTATATATATATATATATATATATATATATATATATATATATATATATATATATATATATATATATATATATATATATGTATATATATATATATATATATATATATATATATACACAACCCTTGGAATTAAGAAAAAAAGGTTGGCAATAATTTGTCGACATTAATCAAAAAAGCAAAAAAAAAAGTGATTCAAAAGTCTTACCATTATTAATGGTAAGACTTTTGAATCACTTTTTTTTTTGCTTTTTTTAATGTTTAAATGTTTTTTTTTTTGTTTAATGATTAAACATAGAAACAAGGTCAGCATTATTTGTTGACCTCAAACACTTTTAGGTTGGCATTGCTGCATGCTGACCCTAATTCCAAGGGTTGTATATATGTATATATATATATATATATATATATATATATATATATATATATATATATATATATATATATATATATATATATATATATATATATATATATATATATATATATATATATATATATATATATATATATATATATATATATATATATATAAGTAGTATGTTAATTTATAATAATTTTTCTGTTTTTATTTAAAATTTATTGAAAAAAATAAGATTCTGTTTTCAATGTAGTTATTTTCTCCTTAATTGACTTTTGTGACCAAATCTTTTTAAATAATAGATAAATGTCTCCTTAAAATCCTTATTTATAGCGTCAGTTTTAATAGTAAAAATACAAAATATATGTCAAATAAAATTAAAATGAGTTTTGCTAAAATTTAAAATTATTAGAATTAGTTAAAATTTAGAATTATTAGTTATTATTAGTTAGAATTAGTAGAATTTGTTGTATTAGTTAAAATTTAGAAATAGATAGTGTGAAACACCAATTAGATACAATTTAAAATTGAACAGAAAAATTAAAAAATAAATAAATAAAAAATGCTAATGCTAAAAAATAACACTTGTAAGAATATTTTTTACTTTTCCATAAATTTTATTTACTTGTTAATTAAGATTTTATTTTTAGGAGCATCAACTACATCAAGTGTCAGTTGATATAAATGTTTTGGTCAAATACATGTTTGTATTTGGTAATATTATGTTACATTTTTGTTTTGTATTTCAAAAACTCATATTGCATTTATTTAAATATGCATTTAGGAATCTAGAATTGATGTGTTTGTAGTTTTTGTATCTAATTTTGTTTTAGATTAAAGAAATTTGATTTGAATAAATGTATTCAACTCTAAAGTTTATTTTTATTTTTGCCTTTGGTTTTAAAAAAATAGAACAACGGTTTTGGCTATAGTTCATTTTATGTAATGGTTAATGTAATATAATTTATTTTATGTAATATGCCTAATGAATTTTTATTAGTAACAACTCCTTTAATTCATTCAGCTCCTCCAAAATTTGAAAGTCTGTGATTCAAAATTTTGCTTTTCCCAAAACAAAGTCAAAGAAAATATACGAAGTCAATGATAAATCTTAAAGTTTTACAAAGATTAATGTAAGTAATATTTTTTCTTGTAATAACTATCTTGTAAGTTATTTTAACTATCTAGGCCTTTTATCTTTATAAATAATTTTTTTTAATACTTCTCAATACTCAAAATAGGCACCTAGTCAATGCAGCAAGAAAAAAAGAACATTTAAGAATTTCCTTTCAAAAGATGTAGTTAGTAAAATTTAAAGTTAGTTATATATATATATATATATATATATATATATATATATATATATATATATATATATATATATATATATATATACTCATATAGTGTCGCTTTAAGAGCATTTTAATGTAAAAAAAGTCTCTTACGACTACAATTTTTATTACCTCGTCTCTTAAGCTGTTTTTGATTGTCATCGAAATGTCAAAGCAATTAATTTATGCGGAAGTACATTAAATTTAATTGTTTTTTAAAAAATTTTTAAAAAACCGCAATTATAACGACTAGAAAGTTTTTTTTAATTAGTGGTGTTTTTGTTATTGATTTAATAAAAAACATTTTTTAAACATGCGTAAATGTTGCTACATCGACTATCTTATAGCCTGACTCGCAACGGAGTGCTGCTACATCGACTGACAAATAGCCTGACTCGCAACAGAGTGCTGCTACATCGACTGACAAATAGCCTGACTCGCAACGGAGAGCTGCTACATCGACTGACAAATAGCCTGACTCGCAAGGGAATGCTGCTACATCGACTGACAAATAGCCTGACTCGCAAGGGAGTGCTGCTACAACGACTGACAAATAGCCTGACTCGCAAGAGAGTGCTGCTACATCGACTGAGGGTTTGGTTTGGCCAGGCAGTCTATCAATTAAAAAAAAAAATTTAATTTTTAAAACTTTTTCTGGTCTGGTTTATTAACGCGCTCTTTAAAACTACAGTTTATGGGAAATATTTTTTGATGCTACGCAAGAGACATGCAAGACTATATATATATATATATATATATATATATATATATATATATATATATATATATATATATATATTGTTCGCTGACGACACTTCTTTTTATTCTTGTCATGATAAGAAGCCTACACCCTCTGATTGCTTGGAGGGGGTATCTGAGCTTGAAAAGGATTTCACCTCTGCTACAGCACGGGGCTCACAATGGCTGTTGAACTTTATTTCAGATGAAACTCAATTTTTTTTGGCCAATCGCTATCGCAATAATTTAGATTTTCCTATATTTATGAATGGTAATGTACTAGATGAGTCATCTACCCTTCATCTTCTAGGATTAACTTTTACTTCTGATCTTTCTTTTAAACCGTATATCAAATCTTTATCGAGTTCGACACTTCCTTACTCTAGATTCTATGCTCTATCTCTATAAATCTCAAATCTGTCCCTGTATGAAATACTGTTGCCATATCTGGGGCAGATCTTCTATTTATGCCCTTTCTCTTTTAGACAAGGTGCAAAAGCGCATTGTAAACATAGTTGGACCTGCTTGTGCAGCCAATCTCCAACCATTGTCACATCGTCGTGATGTTGCTTCTTTTTCTCTTTTCTACATATACTATAATGGGCACTGCTCTAAAGCTAGTTTTTTTCTTCGAACATCAGTTCTTTGGAATTTGCTTCCTTCATCTTGCTTCCCTGATTCATATAATTTGCAATCGTTATCTTGCTCTACGAACTTAATCTTTTCTCTTCCAATAACTTCCAAACTCTTATAAGTGGTTGTTCACAGCCTTGTTGGAAGCGAAGATGAAAAATATTTTTTCTATTATAATTTATATATATAAATTATAATAGCATATCGTTTTTTAATTAACTAATATATAAGATAAGTAAGTAAATGAATTAAAGACTATAGTCTTTAATTCATTTACTTACTTATCTTAAGAATAATGAAATATAAAAAACGTTTAAGTTGAAAATAGTTTTGATCTTTACTAGTATGATTCTATTGCCAAGTTTCTTGAATGTGATCAATCATTTCTCGATACTAATGTTGCAAAAAGTAGTATATTTTTTATTATGGTTAAATGTTTAGTTTTTTTTTTATAAGGGTAAATTACATAACAAACTTTTGATCTGTAATTATATACATAATGCTCACTTTACAAATAAACATAATTTACACAAAATTTTCGAATTGAATAAAACACTAATGAATTGCTCCTATGCCCAATATAACTTACACTAAATTGTCCCATATCAATTACATTAGTGTTATCTTTTGAATTTGGAAATAGAAGTTATTAAATGTTGGTGGCTCATCATGCAGTGCATTTGAGAAGGGCATGCTTTCAAAGTAAGTATAATTTTACTATAAAAAGAGCATTTTTAATACCGCAATTTTATTGCATACTTGATATACACGAATATATACGCTGATCACAACAATCAAGTCAAAAATTTTTTTAAAAAAATAAATTTAGTGTTGAGAAATTCGTATTTTTTGATGTTTGATGTTATGTTTATAAAATAATAATTATATATATATGTGTGTGTGTGTGTGTGTTATTTATTTCTTTCCCCTTTATTTTTACATACTTATCTTAACAATATTTTTTTAAGACTGCTTCCCTGATTCCTACATCCAAAAAAAACTTTAAAATGCTGGTGGCAATATTTTAAAGAGTGCATCTGATCGAAAAGAAGGTGAATGACGGCAACTGTTCGAAAATTCGATTCTTGGAAATTAACAAGTGGAAGAAGTAGTTTACAAAGTTGTAATTTATAAAACTCAGCACAATTATATTATTAAAAAATTTAAATGATTTATTATTTTTTTCTTATTCTCAAGAAGTTCTGTGAAAACATAAATTTGAACCTTACGTTTAAGTAAAGCCATGTTAGAACACGTATTTTAGACGTCGAAATAAGAACGTCTAAATTAGGTTATTTAAAGACGTCATTCGGCGTTTCCATATCAGCACTAGTTCTGAACGTCCTAAATTCACGTCTTTTAGACGTCTCAAAACACGTCTTTATTCCGTCCTAAAAAGACGTCCTTATTACGTCTTAAAAAGACGTCATCTGGCGTTGCCATGTAGAACCAGTTCTAGACGTCCTTTCGACGTCATATAGACGTTGCCGTGCCCGAATCTGAATCGTTTTTTGAGTTTGTTTTTTTTATTTAATGAAGTATGACTTGCTTTATCAAATGTTAGTAACGTTTAAATGATCCGCCCCGCCGTTTGTACCGTTTAAATGATCCGCTCCGCTGGTCCGCCGCGCCCCGCTGATTGTAACTACTCGTAAATCAACACTAAACACGCGAGTTTTCAAACCATTGTTTAAACAATAACTGAATGACATTGCTCGGGTATCAAAAAACAAATTATTTTTTATTCAGGTTAAATATTACCTTATCCAGAAAAAGATTCTCTACAAAATGATCAAAAATATTTGCAAAAAATTTATTCAATAATTAAGAGCAGAAAAATAAACATTGCAATAACATTTTCATTATATTTACTATTTCATTCTACAATGTTCTACTTCTACACTGAGATTGGGTCCGTCATGAGAGAGGTAAGAGGGTGTTTAGCCCCCCGACGAATTTTATTAGTCGGTTTATTAGACACTTCTCGGCAAAATTAGATCTATAGTTGGCAGTCGGCCTACGAGAACCTCTTTTTTTTTTTTTTTGAGATAAGTTATTCAGCAAAATATTTTTTTTGTGGCTTTAGTCGGCAAAAAAAAAATACGTCACCATCTCACCCCATCCCACCCCATTAAAATCTCTTTGGGACAGCCCTGACTGTGATCAACATTTAAAATTTTTTTCAACTTTATTCGAGGAAATAAGCAAAAACTTCTTCTAATTCCTTTCATTTCTAACGATAAATGAAAGGTGAATGTAAATTGTCGGCACGAATTCTGACGTCACATTGCGATTTTAATAGGATAAAAGTAACTATGATTCATCAATCGCAAATGTTCGTATCCGCTTATCTGTCGTTAGTTCAATCTTTCATTTAATTTTTAAATGAGTAATTGAAGGTGTTTCCTACCAACTGTATCGAGTTGTAGATCAATGAACTTTTATCTAACATCAAAGTATCCAACAAATCCAAACACATTTATTAATATTATATTACAAAATCGGTTGCAAAGTAATCATAACATTTGTATTTCGAAATAATGACATCTTATATACACGGTATTATTTTAGTGCTGGCATCAAGTTTTCAGCTTTATGGTATGTCTATAAATTCTTTTTACTTTGTTTAACTTCTTGAACAACACTTTTTAAATTTTATTTAGTTTGTTGATAATATCGAAAATGATCAGACCTTGTAAAAATTATAATCATATTTTTGTTTTGTTTGTTATATGTAATTAATAATTTTGGCTACATATATATGTATATATATATATGTATATATATATATATATATATATATATATATATATATATATATATATATATTTATATATATATATATATATATATATATATATATATATATATATATATATATATATATATATATATATATATATATATATATGTATATATATATATATATATATGTACGTATATTATGTGACCATTTTTTTCTTTCAATGAAAAGGAGGACAACATTTTTTTTTGTAAAAGTACTTCATAAATAATTGAAATACTTCATTTAAATAAAAATATATTATTCTTGCATTCCTTTCAATTAAGTTATCTTAAAGTTTAAAATTAATTAAAAATAATTATCTAGTTAAGTTAGTATTTTTCAATTAAGTGGATAATTTTTGTCAATATGTTGTTTTCTAACAATATATTAGAAATTTCAGAGCAAGATATGTGTTTCATATTAACTTTTACAGTGAGTGCTGCTGCTAGAGTATCAATATGTAATCTCAATTTTTCACTGGTCCAGAAATCATTTCCAATTGAAAAAACACTTTTAACTGCTGCATTAGAACCAGGATAGCTCAACATAAATTCAACAAGAATAGCTAAATTTTGATTTGTAATATGTTCATTTTTAAAGTGATCAAATAAACCCACCCATTATTTATCAATTTCAACATTTTTATTTTTCCTTAGTTCTAATTTATCTGAATTTAAATATAAATTTATTCTTATTTCATCATACTGACTATTTTCATTGATTTTAATATCAGGGATTTGTGTTAATAAAAACTCAACACACTTTTCCATATCCCAATTAACATTTGAACTCAAAAAACACCATTAAAATTGTTATATTCTGTTATATTAGGCATGTTTCCAATATCTTAGACCATTCTTCGACATATTAGAAGCATGTTTGGTAAAAATTCTGCACTTATTTGGTAAATTTATCTCTTACACCAGGATTTGACTCTGGTGTAATTCATCAACTAATACATCATGACAACATGTTTATCAGCTCTTTAAAAATTTCAACAGTGCCACTTATTTTTGTTTGATCTCTTTGCAACTTATCTAGTGCAACTCCATTTAGTTTTAATATTTTTAACAAAAGTTTTGCATTTTGCTTTATCTATGTCACTTGGATAATGAAAAAATGTTAGATCAGTCTAAAAAATATATTCGCTATCAGAATGATGTTTTTTGATCAATGGAATTATTCTGTTCTTGTTACAATCATTTTTGTAGACTTCTTGGTTGATTGCATAGCCACATTCTCTGAATATTGGCGAAGATATACCTTTATCGGAAAAACAAATCCAAACAAGTAATTTCATTTTAATTTTTAAAATGGGATTGAATTTGACACTTGTTGGTGTTTGAGAAACATTACTTGAATAAAAAGTTTTATTTGTATTAATTAAAGAGTGGTTAAATGTGAAGTATCATTCATTGCCAAGGATTAACATTTTATTGGTGGAAATTTGATACAGACGACTGCACTTTGTTCAAGCTGCCTCTATTTGGTCACAAGTTCTTAATGGAATGCTCTTCTTCTTAGGCCTGATTAAGGACTTGTTTTAATGTTTTGCTGATATTGGGTGCACTTAAATTTCCAAGCTGCTTGTGTTTGCGATATGCTGTCTTTGTGGTCAAACATTGTTTCAAGTCTTTCGATGTTCCTTTTTGTCATTATTTTATCAATCCTACCACTTCCAAGGACTCTGTAGAGAATTGAAAATGCTACAAACTAGGTAAGATTGCAACCATAATTAACATAAAGTATTTTACATAGCTTTTGTCTTCAAAGTCATTATTGTTTTTTAGTTATAAGTTGTTAAACCACATACAGAACTCCAGCATGTTTCTGTAGGAAGTGGTAATTTTGTTCCTCAAACTTCTCTATATTTTGCTCCAGCTTGATAATTATTTGGTATATATTTTATTAACTACCTAATATGCTTGCTCACATTTTCCATGTTACGCTCATTCGCTAAAAAATTTAGCATATAAACAGCGCACCCATAAATTATTATTATATCTGCATTGCCTGTCACAAAGCTTTTTACTGTGCAGCCAAATTTATGTTACAGATTTGTTAAATGACAATAAAAAATGTAACAATAAATTTTTTTATTTAATATTAAAAGACAAAAAAATTGAAACAAAATAGACATTTTACAATATGTACATATTAAAATAATGCTTCTAAATTTGTTTTTCTTAAGTATTTTAGTAAATTAAACTTGATTTGCTGTAATTTATTTTATTGTGGTTAAATATATATATATATATATATATATATATATATATATATATATATATATATATATATATATATATATATATATATATATATATATATATATATATATATATATATATATATATATATATATATATATATATATATATATTAGGGTGTCCCATCCGCCCCTTATATTCTAAAAAAGATCTGTTCATATTCTTAAAACTTTCTATTGGTTCTCACAAGCAACTCTGTTAAATTTTTTCAAAATTTTATTGGATTTAGAGGGAGCACAAGACCCTTGAACACTTACCGGGTTCCTAATAGTATTAAAAATTTTTAATATTATTAAAAGAAGCGAAATTATATAAAAATTTTAAAAATAACAATCATTTTATTAAAAAAAAATTATTTTGTAGTTTTTTTTGCAGAAAAATGACCTTTTTTAACCTAAAAATAAAAAAAGTGTATTTTTCCGATAATTATTCCAAAAAAAAAATTGAATAATAACTTTTTTTTTAAATAATTGTTATTTTTAAAATTTTTATATATTTCGCTTCTTTTGAGACCCAACATGACATACTTTTGAGAAATTTTTTAAATATTATTAGGGACCCAGTAAATGTTCAAGGGTCTTGCGCTCCCCCTAAATCCAATAAAATTTTGAAAAAATTTAACAGAGTTGCTTGTGAGAACCAAAAGAAAGTTTATAAGGGGCGGCTGGGACACCCTAATATATATATATATATATATATATATATATATATATATATATATATATATATATATATATATATATATATACATTTACTCACTTTACTTTAATTGAGTAGTTATTTTGAGAATTTCTACTTTTTAAGTGTTTTTTTAAATGTGTACTTTTACTTTTACTTAAGTATTTTTTTTCTAAAGTATTGTACTTTTGAAATCATATGCATTGCTGAGTTTATAATTAATTTATTATTGTTTATAATAAACGACTTACGTTGTTAATGTGCTTAAGTAAATAGCTTTTGCATTTAACATGTAGAACATGTTTAACAGAGATTTTTTAACAACTTTCTTTCTTATAAAAAAAAGATTTTATATGCCAACTTTAACTTTCTTCAAAATTAACTGGGCAAGAGACATAAAAAGCTGCGAATGGTCTGAAAAAATATAAATAGAAACTTATTAAAGAAAAATATAGTCAACCCCCTTTCTGCTTGTTTTTTTGTTGTTCTTTATTTTTGTAGAAGTTATAAAGAGATTAAACATAATTTGTTAACTTAAAACAAAGTTTTTTATATTTTGCTTTTTTTAAAAACTTATGGAAATAAAACAAAATCATTAAAATAGTTGGAGTGGAATAGACTTATAATGATCAGTATGCGAGTCATGTTAAGTCTGCTATTCCACATATTTAAGCCATCTCATGTTTTTAAAATTTTTTAAACTGATGGTAATTAATTAAGAAATTCTAAATACTATTTAGATAGTTACTAATATCTAAATAGTTGATAAATAGCGATTCGTGCAACAGCTATGTTACATGCAAACTGAAATTTTCTTCAGAATTAACTGGTCAAGAGTCCTAATAAATACCGGATGGTATGAAAAAAAAAATTAGATTCTGAAACATAATAAAAAATTAACAACTCCAGAAGGTGACAAACAGAAAACCCAAAAAATACTAAAATTACGTCATAATTTTAGTTCTGCCAAATCCGGTAATAGAAATACTCAAATATAAGGTATTAATATTAAGTGATTTTTGTATTACAAAATACTTTTTTAGATCTTAATTGGGCTGATATATAACAAAGTGTTGCATTTGGGCATCTTTCTTTGGCATCAATATATATATATATATATATATATATATATATATATATATATATATATATATATATATATATATATATATATATATATATATATATATATATATATATATATAATAAAATTTAGTGAAAAGTATTTTTGAACCACAATATGATAGTTGAATGGGAAAAACTTCAATTAGTTATGTTCTGAAAACAAATTAGCATACTGAACAGCAAGCCTTTCCAAGAAAGGCGTGCGTTTTTTTGTCTTGAATGACCACACGCGATTATAATATTTTAGAAAACGTGAACACGGCCGTTTGCAAGTTTTATAATAATGCTGAAAAAGTTTCAAAAACAAAAAACAAAACTAACAAAATTAAAAGAGATTGAAATAGAAAAAAATAAAAACAAATTAATAATTTAAATAATTTGTGTACTGTTTTTATTTTTGTTTCTTTAGAGTAACATTCATTAAATAAGGCGAATCAAAAAAAAAAACAGTTTGAAGTCTACAATAAAAAGAATGATTTTCCTTTTCTTAATTTTTTTTTTTAAGAGGATAGCAAAAATACAAATTGCAATGTGTTTGTAAAATTTATTTGTATAATTTTAATGTAACAAAAGGGTTGAATTAAGCGAATGCAAAACGCAAAGTTTAGAAAAATATCTAGTAATCAAAATTTTAGTTTATACAAAACCGTGTTCCTTGTTTTTAAGGGGAGAATCAACTTAAATTTGTTAACGAAAAACAAAAAATAAAACAATAAACTTATGATTACAAAAGTAATAACACT